CATCCTTACCATGCCAGGGTGAGCCTCGTGGAGAGCTGTGAGGACCCGCTGTTGCAGGGCACCAGGGACCACAACTCGATCCCCCCACAGGAGACACCCTTTCAGGGCCGAGAGATCGTCATTACGAGTTTTAAACGCTGTGAACTCAGCTCCCGGGGCTGCCATAGGCCAACCCCTCACCACCCAGCCCAGGACCCGGGAGAGGAGGGGGTAACGGACCGACTTGGCCGCGATGTCGGCAGCGTGCAAGGGAGGCTCCGGGAGATTTTTGACAAGCAGGACCCCAAGTGCTGGAGCGGGATTGGTGTCTGTGACTGGCAGTGGTAGCTGGCTCAGGGCGTCGGCATGACCCATCGCCTTGCCCGGGCAGTGTTCCAGGTGGTACTGGTAGCCAGCCAGAAACAGGGACCATCTGAGGACGTGGGGTGACAGGACTTGGAGTGTCTGCTTGTCTGCAGCTAGTAGTCCTAGGAGGGGCTTATGGTCCGTCAATCGTAAAAGGGCGCCCATAAATGAAATTGTGGAATTTTTTTACCCCTGCTACGATTGCCAACCCTTCCCTGTCGATTTGCACATAGTTGCGCTCCACGGCCGTTAATGTTCATAAGTAGTAGGCCACGGGAACCTCACGGCCATCAGGGAGGATGTGGCCTAGCACTGCGATGCCGCCGTAGGGAGAGGCGTCACACGCAAGGACAACCGGGAGGGATTCATCAAAATGTGCTAGTACGTCATTGGAAATTAAAAGCGCTTTCACCCCCCTGAATGCCGCCGCTTCCCTCGGGCCCCAGGTCCAAGGGGCCAACTTATCCAGTAGCCGGTGTAGGGGCTCTGCTACCGCAGCCTTGTGTGGCAAAAAAGCGTGGTAAAAGTTTATTAGTCCCATGAACGACTGTAGTTCTGCTTTGCATGTGGGGGCGGGAACCTCCACGATGGCCTTCACCTTGTCCTTCACCGGATGAAGGCCGGTAAAATCTACCCTGAACCCCAGAAAGTCCACCTCTGAAACCCCTAGGAGGCACTTCTCCCGTTTCACTTTGAGCCCAGCCGAGTCAAAATGTTGCAGGACGGCGCAGAGGCGGGAGGCAAAGTCGTCGGGGGACGCCGTGGCAATCAAGACACCATCGAAAAACGGTGTCACTCCAGGGATCCCTTTTAATAACGAGTCCATTAGTTGTTGGGAAATCCCTGGGACTACGCTCACGCCGAATTGTAGCCTCTTTACCTTAAAAGCCCCCCTGTGAGTGACTATGGTCTGTGCCGTGGCCTCGTCGACCGGTAGCTGTTGATAAGCTTGTGCCAGGTCCAGTTTCCCAAAAATTTTAGCCCCCGCTAGCGAGGCCAGAACATGACTAACGACCAGGACCGGGTAGGAGTGGTCGTGGAGGACCTTATTAATTGTGCATTTGTAGTCCGCACAGATGTGGACTTTGCCGTTGGGCTTGAGGGGGGTCACAATATTTCCCATATAGCATGTGGAACCGGCTCCAGGACCCCTTGCGCCACCAAGTGGTCCAGCTCCGCATCAATTTTTGGCCATATGGCGAGTGAAGCTGTGCGGAACCACATGCGGATAGGGGCCACCAGGGGGTCTAACTGCAAGGAAACTGGGGTGCCCTTGTAGCAACCTAAAGTCCCATCGAAAACAGCTGGGAACTCCCTGCAAATCTCCACAAAATCCCTCAGTCTGCATTTAAGCACCCCACCGACCCCAATCGTGATGCCCAACGGCGCAAACCAGGACCGGCCCAGGAGACTGACCAGATTTCCTTCCACCACTATCAAGTCCAACAGTCCCTCAAACCCCTGGAACTGTACCCGGAACATCCCCACCCCCCTTATAGGAACCGGGTTTCTTTGGAAGACCACCAAACTCAAATGGGATGGGCGTAAGCGAGGTCCCCCCTTAGGGCAAAGTCTGCATAGCATGTCCACGGAAATGATGGATGCCGCTGACCCCGAGTCCACTTCCATTGTGCAGGGGGACCCCTCAATCCGAACCGTTAATTGGATCTTTGGGGGTATCCTCTAACTTTGGGAGGTGTAGTACCTGTAGGGATGGCCTGTCTGTTAGGAGGTAGAGGTCGGATGTCTCTGCTGCCGTCTTGTGGGTGGCAGCAGCCGGGCGGCGTGCCTGCGCTGGGGGCTGCTGGTGCCAGCTTCCCTTGGACCGGCAGACGTGAGCGAGATGACCCTGTTTCCCACAGGCATGGCACGTCATGTTGCGGAATCGGCAAAACTTGCGCTCGTGTGCCTCATCGCAACTGGCGCATGAGGAGCTGCCTGTGGTCTTTTCGGTAGATCCTGAGGCCGCAGGACCCGGTGGCTTTCTGCACGAGGGCGGGTGGGCAGACGAGACGGACGTCCACTTCCTCTGAGTTCTCGGGGCCCGAGTCGGGGAGTACGAGGTGAGATGTCGCTGGCGGGCGGTTGCGGTGCGATGCCTCATGGGCGATGGCGAGTTGGAGGGCCGTGTCAATCTTGATGTCGGCGGTACCGATCATCTTCCTCCGCAGCTTTAGGTAGCTGACGCCCCATGCAAACTGTGTTAAGAGGTTCTCCTCCACCTTGGTGAAGGCACAGTCCATAGCCAGCTGGTGCAGGGCGGCCATGAAAGCCGCGGCTGGCTTGGGCAGTTTCTGGACGCAGCCCTGGAATTCTATCCACCTGGCGAGCGTGGTAGGCCGTGGCGTGAGGTACCTCGTCAAGGCATTGACGATCTCCTCGTACAAGCACTCGAGGATTGACTGGGGTGTGAGGAGGCTCTTTGCGAGGCGGACCGTGTTCACTCCACAGGAGCTAAGGAGGAGGGCTCGTCTTTTGCCTGGATCGGTGACCTCATTGTAGACGAAGTGGCAAGTCAGTTGGTCTGTCCACGTGTCCCAGAGTTCAGGATGGGCTGGATCAAAGATCTCCAAGTTCCCCCGAGCAGAGGCCATGGTGTAGCGTTTAGCGGGGAGCGGTGTTCTGTGATGCGGTGCGGTGCGTGGTGCTGCTGGCGAGCGATGCGGGGCGCGTTGGCTGGAATGGAGCTCGGTGCTGTGCTGAGATGCGAGCCAGGCCTGGCTCAGCAGGATCCCATCCTCGTCACCACTGAAAAGTACATGCTGTTAAAGTTCTGCACTCCATTTGCCAGCAAATTTGGAAAACGCAACAGTGGCCACAGGATTGGAAAAGGTCAGTATACATTCCAATCCCAAAGAAGGGCAATGCCAAGGAATGTTCAAACTATCGCACAATTGCACTCATATCACACGCTAGCAAGGTCATGCTCAAGATCCTACAAGCTAGGCTTCAACAGTACGTGGATAGAGAACTACCAGAAGTACAAGCTGGGTTTCGAAGAGGTAGAGGAACTAGAGATCAAATTGCCAACATTCGCTGGATTATGGAGAAAGCAAGAGAGTACCAGAAAAATATCTACTTCTGCTTCATTGACTATGCTAAAGCTTTTGACTGTGTGGATCACAACAAACTATGGCAGGTCCTTAAAGAGATGGGAGTACCAGACCACCTCACATGTCTCTTGAGAAACCTGTATAAGGGCCAAGAAGCGACAGTTAGAACCGGATATGGAACAACTGATTGGTTCAGCATAGGAAAAGGAGTACGACAAGGATGTATATTGTCGCCTTGCTTATTTAATATATATGCAGAGTACATCATGCGAAATGCTGGCCTGGATGAATCACAAGCGGGAATTAAGATTGCTGGGGAAAAGATCAACAACCTCAGATATGCAGACGATACCACTCTAATGGCAGAAAGTGAAGAGGACCTAAAGAGCCTCTTGCTCAGGGTAAAAGAGGAGAGCGCAAAAGTGGGCTTGAAGCTCAACATCAAAAAAACTAAGATCATGGCATCCGGCCCCATCACTCCTTGGCAAATAGAAGGGGAAGTCGTGGAAGTAGTGACAGACTTCACGTTCCTGGGATCCCAGATCACCGCAGACTGTGACAGCAGCCATGAAATTAAAAGATTTCCTTGGGAGGAAAGTGATGGCGAACCTAAACAGCATGATAAAAAGTAGAGACATCACCCTGCCAACAAAAGTCCGCATGGTCAAAGCAATGGTATTCCCAGTAGTCATGTATGGCTGTGAGAGTTGGACTATAAGGAAGGCCGAGCGCCGAAGAATAGATTCTTTTGAACTATGGTGCTGGAGGAGACTCTTGAGAGTCCCTTGGACTGCAAGAAGAACAAATCAGTCAATCCTCAAAGAAATCAACCCTGACTGTTCCCTGGAAGGCCAGATAATGAAACTGAAGCTCAAATACTTTGGCCACCAAATGAGAAGGGAGCACTCACTGGAGAAGACCCTGATGCTGGGAAAGACTGAAGGTCAAAGAAGACGGGGACAGCAAAGGATGAGATGGTTAGACAGTGTCATAGATGCAACGAACATGAAATTGAGCCAACTTCAGAGGACGGAAGAAGACAGGAAGGCCTGGGGTGATCTGGTCCATGGGGTCGCGAAGTCGGACTCGACTGTGCGACTGAAGAACAACAAAATCCTTTTGGGATTTGTTTAAGAGGGTGGCACCTATTTCAACTCCTGTCTTGGCACACATGCCATTTTAGCAACACCTCCTGCTTTAGTTGCAGGACGCGCTATTACACAGAGCAGGTGGAGAAGCGGCTTTTAGCAGGGACGGACCGGGGCGCTCCGGCATCAATCCTTGAGAGTAGGGATGTTTCTCGTTTCCTCATAACAACAAAAACATCAAGCAAATGTTTGTGGGGGCCTTAGTGATTTAACAGATTTATTGTGCGAGAAGAACTTTTGTCAGACCGAACCCTCTTCTTTGTCAGATACCCGCTTCCACAGTATTTGAAATTACGGGCATATAAAAGGGTGGAACTTCCGTTGAGCGTCACCTCAGTCTCAGAGCATGCGCCAGTCCGTGCTGTGCCTATCTCTTTTTCTTAGCTCTACGGCGTATCCGGGAGGTTGGCGCATGCGTACGAAGGAGCTAGCGTTTCACTAGTCAGGGAGCCGAGTGTGGGCTTGAGTTGGTGCCGCTTGGGCGATGGGCTGAGGGAGGGAGTGCTCCGCATTTGCGATTGGCAGCAGGCGGGGCTTCTCCCTGAGGATGGAGAGAGCCATGGAGCAGCTCAACCGGCTCACGAGGTCCCTGCGTCGCGCCCGCACTGTCGAGCTGCCGGAGGGTAAGCGGAGGAACGGTAGAAGAAGGAAAAAGGGGGTTTGGGCAATGCAGGCGGCCAGGGACTCGTGCGTTGTGAGGGTCGCTAGGGGTGGGTCGGTAGCCGGAAGTGAGGAGCCTATTGGCTGGGAAGCACCTGGGCAAGTAGAAAGAAAACCTCTAGATGGTATGACCGGGGCGGGGGGATTAGGGGGAGAGAAGATTGCCTTTCTGGGAAAGATAAGGGCTGGCGTGGTAGTGTTTAATCGAATAGGTTCAAGCCCCCGGAGAAATAGATGCCCTCTGATCTGGGATCTAAGCCTTGTTGGGGAGTGCCTGGGAAAGTAAAAGGAAGACCACAGAGTCGCAGGTTTGGAGGGCAGTTAGAATAGTTGGAGGGGATTAGGACAGTGTCTGGGTGGGTCTGGAACTCGGTTAAGGGTGAGTGCGGGGGAGAGGTAGAGTTATGGTAACACTGATTAACTTTTAAAAGAAGCATTTTTTTTTTTAAATGAATAAGTGATGAGAATCATGCTCCTCCCAGAAAAATAGTGTCCTTTGTTCTGGGATCCTAGACTTGCTGGAACTATTCCTTGATAAAGGAAATACATGTTACTGCGTATCACAGTCCTGGAATAAACTGTAGCATGGTTCTAGGTGGGATCTCCAATTAGCCGAACGTGGTGGATGCACTGACCTCTTGAGGAGGAGGCTGGTTTTTGGTCACAAGGATCACCCCTAGGCTGTAAAAGAACTTCTTTAATATGCATACAGTCTTCATGAGTTCAGGAGGACTGGAAAGGATCTTTGCCTTAAATGCTGGAGAGCTGTTACAAATCAGATTATACTGTACTGAAGCAGACTGGTGTTTTGCTTTGACATAAAGCTGTTTCGTGAAAAATAAAGGGATATGCTCTCAACATAAGAGGATTGTCATATCTGGGGTGAGGAAGAATAGTTTACTGATTCGTTTAAGGAGGCTTGAGCCCCAATATTTTTTTCAGTATAGAAATTAAATATTGCCATTCTTATCCTGAGAAGATAGGGACATAGAAGTTGGGAAGACACATGGCTTTAGAACGCTCTGTTCAGTTGCATGGCTATTGCCATAGGTGAAACTGTGGGTAAAACTTGCTTTCCTTGTATTTGTGTAAGAGACCCTTGGGAAGGGCAGGTTATGGTTGAGGTAATAGGCTAGAAGTAAATGCTGGGATTAAGGGTTTGCAGCTTAATCTGTATTGTTTTGTATCTCTGCCCTGTCAAAGCCACACATCTCCAGTTGTGTATCAAGTGTCGTACTTCCTTGAAGATGCAAGGGCACTAAAAATAAAAAGGTGATTCATCTTGAGGAAGGAACTTCTACTTCTGGATTGCCAGACTTTACTTTTTTTGGTTTGTCTTGTACATGCTTTAATATTAAAGAAGTCAAATAAAGGGCCAGTATTAAAAACTAAGTTAAAACTTATAATATACAAAAATACATGTATTTATTAGAAAGACAGTTAAAAACATATAAGGGCCCAATAAAAGCCTTTTAAACAAGTAAAGGTGGCCAAAACACAAGGGCCAATACACATAACTGACATGTTTCTGCCCTATTGGGGCCTTCTTCAGAGGTCAAACAATATTGAGGTACATGTAACTTTAATACATATTACAGTAAGATAACCAAGTGAATATTGGATCAAGAAAAGAAAAAAGATCAAAAGGTTATTAAATATGAATAATCAAATCTTTGTCTTGTGTCTTTAGGTTTTGCTGCTTAAGTAAGTAATATAGTCATTTTTACTACCCTGTAGGTGAGTTCAGACGGGGCATTTGCAACGGTATAGGTGCTGGTTTGAATCGGTGTACTTACCGGCTTTCAGACGGCAAACATCTGCCTTCCGTCCCTAACCGTTGCAAAGAGCTTTAAACCGTTGTATTCTGCCACTAGGTCCCCAAGTGGCGGTATCCTGAGTGCAACGGTTGTAATCACTTTACCCCCGTCTGATAGCTCCAACGTTGTACAGCCACTTCCGTTTGGAAGCCCGAGGCTTCCGATTTTCGCCCGCCATTTTTTTTTTAGGTTGGTGATATGCGCTCGGACAAAGCTTCGCCCTGGTGTTTGTTTAAAAAATAAATAAAAGGTCCTTAGTTTAACGTTTAGAGGAGTCCAGGACTTCAGGGAGGCCACTTTGGTCTTTAAACTTTAAAGGTAAGTCCTTACCTTTAAATTTTGAATGTAAGACGGGGTGTTTTGCGCATGCATGAAGATCGCCATTCTGTGGATGGCTGCCTATGCACATGTGCAAACTAAGTTAAAAAAAACCCCACCAACGCCAGCTGTGTGTGAACGGGCATACAGCGATGGGCTCCGCAGACAGGAGGTAAGTGTGATCGCATTTCAGCGTTTCAGATACAAGTTGAAACGCCCCATCTGAATGCACCCTGTAAGTCATAAAATATTTGATTATTCATATTTAATATCCTTTTAATCTTTTAACTCATTCCGTTCAAGGTGCTCACAGACAGAGCGTTTAATAATCTGCTCTAGAATTTTTCCAGGTATTGATGTAAAACTGACAGGCCTGTAATTTCCTGGGTCTGTCTTTTTTCCCTTCATGAAGATTGGGTAACATTCGCTTTTTTCCAGTCTTCCGGCACAACACCAGTACTCCAGGAAATCTCAAAGTTTAGAGGCTCTGAAATAACATCTGCAATTTCTTTTAGCACCCTGGAATGCAAGCCATCCAGCCCTGGAGATTTGAAAGTATTTAAGGCAGCTAGATGTCACGTGTGAATTAATTTATTGGAAGAATTTGCCAGCACTATAGTTAGAAGAAAAATGTCTTTTATTTTCAAATGAAAGCTTAAAGTGTTTACGTAAAAATAATAAATGATGTGGAATGTCCAAATATACCTAGTTGACTAACAATTGATTGTTCCTCTCAGTCACTGTCTTCAGGCTATACAAATGGTGTAATAACTATAACTTAATTTCTACAGATAATGAAACTGCTGTCTACACTTTAATGCCAATGGTCATGGCTGACCAACACAGGTAAGTTGTCATATCTAAACCTGCAAACAAAACAAACCCCAGCTGCAATAAAGGTGCATATAAGTGTTGGATCTAAAGCACCCCCACCACCTCTGAATATATGCATTGGTTTTTGTGTGGTGTTCAGAAGATTCAAGTCAAAAATCTCACTAGTCCTTCAAGCCCTTAAGCATAAGGTAGTTCACAGGACATGACCAGCATGTCCAGTACCTGTGGTTTGGCACCCACTGTGTTAACATGTCTTTACATATTCTCTGCCCTGACCGGGATAGCCCAATCTCAGAAGCTAAGCAGAGTCGACCCTGACTAGTATTTGGATAGGAGACCACCAAGGAATACCAGGGTCATGACGCAGAGGCAGGCAATGGCAAACCACCTCTGAATGTCTCTTGACCTGAAAACCCTATGGTGTCACCATAAGTCAACTGTGACTTGACGGCAAAAAACATACACACAAACACAAAACAAAAACATGTTCCCTGTTAGTCGAGGTTCAGAACATTACAATATGTTTCAGCTTCCTATTGTCTTTTGAAGCAAGTTCTGGAAGTTAAATCTAGGATAGGATCCAAAGAGCCATACAGGTAGTGGTTGACCTTAACAGCAATATGCCTGCAACATGACAAACATCTTCTGAAGTTGAGGAAAGCATGCTTAAATTGTCCCTTCCTAAGGTAGCTTTTTGGATTCTGACCTAAATCTGTAATATAATTGCATTGAAAGTTAGCTAGTTATAAACACACCTGTGACTTTTACATCATAAAATAGATTTTATGGGTTTTATAAACCACTCTGTGCAAGGCTCTTCGTTAGCAGGGAGCTTCCAAAGGACTTCCATATTGCTATTAGTTTTATATCCACAGCTATGGACATGAAGAGATAGGTGATAAAAAAGCAGAGTTTCTGACTGTCCCTTGCTCAGGATTCAGAGAATTGTTGAAGGGGCCTTTAGGCCAGCCACGTTGAAGAAATGTATATGTTAAGCAAGCTCCCTTGTGTGTGAATTTGTGCTCTTTCATCGAACACAGAGCAATTACTTCTTTATTACTTTCGAGAGGATAGTCCGCTGATACAATTGTTTGAAGTTGGACGGACTTTCCAGTTATTGGATGCTACTTCAAACTAAACCAGGATAGAATTTTTTTCAGAATAACACACAGTAAACTTTTAAGGGGGGGGGGATACAAACTAAATATGGTTAGATTAAAAATATTAATTCTCCAACAGGTAGCATTTTTGTAGAGTCCCTTTACAGTTATTTTTAGTCTTCACAGGCCTAATTAGTAATGCACACAAATTTATGAAATATATAAAGCCAATTAATATAATGCATAGCAGCAAAAGTATCTGTATGCTAATATTTTTTTTTAACTTTTAAAAAACATTTTTCATAATAAATGCATGGCATGAAAATAAATCCCATTGAGGTCAATAGAGTTTCAAACTGACTGCTAAACAGATTTCAGGCGATATATTGCCTTTTGCAACATGTGGCATACACAGCGGGCATTTATTTCCATCAAAAAGACCTTGAAAGTAGAGTGCTCTTTCTAATATAAGTTTCTTTTGTTTTAGGTCTGTTTCAGAGTTGCTGTCAAATTCCAAGTTTGATGTCAATTATGCATTTGGACGTGTTAAGAGGAGCCTGCTTCATATTGCAGCAAAGTAAGGCTGATTTCACAAGCCTAGAGAAACACTAGAGAGAGCCTTTAGAATAGTTTTTCAGTTAAAGAAACTCTCCTTGCTTTTAGTTAATGATAATTTGCCCCGTCAGTTTTGAAGTGTAGGCATGGTGAATTGGAAGGATCAATGTGGCCATTTCAGTGTTCGTTTTCTTTAATAAAATCATATATCTAATTCTGAACTGGGTCATGGAGTGTGGATTAATAGATCCACAGAATGGAGCTAGGGGATATAGGGGATTTCTCTGCAAAACTGAAGGAAGTCCCAAGTTTGCAGAAAAATCTAAAAGCAGACCCAAAAACACATCAGGGGATTAACCTCCTCTCAGAATAATAGAACATCTATAGTTTTAAGAACATAATGCCTATAGAGCACTAAGTTGCCATTTTGGGGTTTGCTAGGCATCTATTACAACAATGTTGAGCCTTCCAAGCCTTGATTTCTATAAAGCAAAGCTGTGGGTGGGAGCAGAGGTAGACTTGAAGGCCAAAACAGCCCGGGAAAGTGTCCTGCCCCTTCCCCTGTTGTGTACTCTGATGAAGTTGGATTCAGCAGGGACAGGCCCAGTGGCAATCATTGGAGGCTCACAATCCACGCCACTGAGATTGGTCTGTTGGTGGCCAGCATACAGCCGGGCTTGGTTTTTTTCCTGGGGAGAACATGACAGAGGAGGGATGGAGGGAAAGCTGAAGATGGGGACAGATCAAGGTGTGGTGCGTGGGAACGAGTGAAGGAAGTAGGAAGAGGGGAGAGACTGTGGGAGCTGCCAGGGAAGGGCAAGAGAACATAGTGGGTAAGGGAGATGTTTCCTGCTCGTGCCTTAACTTAATGTGTGCTAGTTTGCTTAACGTGTTCAGCTCTGCCCTTCACTAGGTATCAAGAGGGAATAGTGATCAGCTTATGTCCAATCCATTTTTTTAAAATCATCCATTGCAAACATAAAAAGAACACAAATGCAGTCTTAACAATCCACTTACTCAAGTGGCTCTTGAGGAAAGAGGCTATAACTTTCAAATCGGATATAAAATCGTTAAGTTATTACCTCTTGTGGAAGCTGTCATTTTTCTGTGTGGCTTTTGGTAAAGATTTTCCCCAAACTTTTTCTTCAGCTGTGGGTCAGTTGAATGTCTAGTTCTGCTGCTAAAGAAAGGAGCAAATCCCAACTATCAAGATATTTCTGGGTGTACACCGCTTCATTTGGCTGCTAGAAATGGGTAAGAGATGCAGCTGTTGCATTTGGCCTTTCATTTCTAAAATCTCAATCTGCTAGGCACAAGAGGCTGTCTGGTCATTTGGTGAAGCCTGGGTTGAAGCCTTGCTTGGTTTCTGCTCAAATGAACGAAAGCTGCACAGTAACTGTATTTGGTGAATTACTCCAGCGAAACAAAAATTATTATGGGTTAACATATTTATTAGGAACTGCGGTGGCTCAAGTGGTTAAGACACTGAACTGCAGGCTGTGGAACTGCATGGCATGAAAGTTCAGCAGTTCGAGACCCGAGTTGCCACATGACGGAGTGAGCTCCCATCTCTAGTTCCAGCTCCTGCCAACCTAGAAGTTCGAAAGCAAGAAATTGCAAGTAGATAAATAGGTACCACTTCAGTGGGAAGGTAAAAGCCACATGACCACGGAAACGTCTTCGGATAGCGCTGGCTCTTTGGCTTTGAAACGGAGATGAGCACTGCAACCCTAGAGTCGGATTCGACTGGCTTTCGAGCAAGGGAACCTTTACCTTTACCTTAACATATTTATTAATCTATTGAATATAATGTAAATTGGATCAAGATTAGTAGAGGCAATGTAAAGTGTAGTTGGAGAATAGTTTCACATAAGCAGAAGTTGACCAAGGCAAAATGCAATTAGCTTTGTGTGGGTGTTTTGTAAAAGCTGTTGTGGTTAGCAAGCAGCTTTAAATGCTTTAAGCAATTATCCTTACAGTTGTCTGGTACAGCTGAGGAGTGCTTTGTAGATTTCATTGTCTCTTCATCAATAGCATCTTTCCATGGCCTGTAGAACTCTTGTGAGAGATGCAGGAGGTAAGGCATTACTTTGAAAAGATGCTCTTTGGCTGTTCTGTTTTCGTGTCTCCGTCTAATGTTTCATTTATGGAAGCTCTGAGCTGCATGTGGAGTTCCCTCTTGCCTGCCTTTACATTAATTTCAGTGGTAGTAACTGTTCTGCATTCCTTGTGCTGTCCCCATGAATGGAGTTTCCTATCTCGGCAAGAAATCTCTATAAATGTAAGCACCCTTACATTACTGGGTTGGATCATACAAGTCTAAGACTGTTGTGGGAGCACTGCCCTTAACAGAATTTGGCACCTTGCAAACCTTGCCATTGCCTTTAAAAAGAAAAACTATTTAAAAGCTAGTTTTTTCCTCCCTTGTGGACAAAAAAATATACAGTGCAGAAATCTCAGAATCAGCTTATATATTTGCCATGCAAGTAATCCTGTTTACATTAGATGCAGTCCCCTCTCGGGTTGTTCTAGACAGGCTGTTGATGTTTCCTAAACATGCTTTTACTAGGATCTTTTAGGAACTATTGAAGCAAACCCTGGGTGGCTGCAGGGCTGGGGAGGGGTAAGATTGGCTGCTGCAGGAGACCAGGGCAGGAAAAATGGTGCTGATGTGGGCAGGAAGGTTCAGGTCTTTCCTGGTCCTGGTCAAGTTGGTGCCATATCCCCTGCCATAGTTCCCCAAGATAGATCAGGATGGGTAGCTGTGTTTAGTCTGTCTGTAGCAATAGAAAAGAGCAAGAGTTCAGTGGCGCCTTAAAGACTAACAAAGTTGTGGCGAAGTCTGAACTTTTGTGAGTCACTGCTCACTTCTTCAGGTAGTCCATCTCTCCCCTTCAGGGCCTTCAGAGTGTGTTTTCAAGATGTAAAATAAAACAATGGCAATTGGCATATCTCACTGGCATTATAACTTTGTGTCTGTCAGGTCCACTGAACTCCTGGCTTTCATTGTTTTTTTTTAAAAAAACAGCAAGTGTGTAATCCTTTTTGTTGTGAAACTCTCAACAAAATGTGCTACAGACGTTAAAAAATGAAGTTTGGAAATTCAGAGGGTCTAATAAACTGTTATAATGCTATAGTGATATATCTGTTCCTGATTGAATTTGAAAACCGCAAAGAGCTCCCCAGTGGTGTGTATGCAAAGGGGGAATGGCCATCATGGGGGACTGAGGTGGGGAAAACTGACCATCTGGAAGCCCCTTTGCCCCTGTGGTGAAGTGGCAACCACAGTGACAATAAGAAACCAACAGAAGATTGTTGCTCTGTGAAAGTTACTTCGGTCAAAAAATGTGACAAGTGAAGTAGACACTGCATGGAGAAACAGGCACAACAGTCTGATGTGTGACCAGTGATGCTTCTCACCCCCTCACCTTTTTTAGGGGAGGTAATTGTGTGCAGTGGAATTCCTTGGTTTTGGGCTGCAATGTAGAGCACCTGCGTTGCATGTTGTATTATGTGGTAGTGGAGAATCCTTTGTAAGGGAATTATGAAAATTCATAATTAATTCTTGCCAGTTAGTTGTTATTAAAGGCAGTGGGTGGTCGGACCATTGCCTTTGAGGGAGCAGATTATTGCAGAAGGAACCCAGAGACCGCAGCTCTTCACTATTAGAGAAAAGAATAATTTAAATCAACAAGGTGATGTTACATCTGAAGCAGCTTACAGATAAATTCCCATTCTGCTGAGGCACACATGCTAGACTTGGAGGGCAAGTCAAAGTCTGTACCTGCAGCAGGAGTACTGTCAGTTTCCTCTGATCTTTTCCTGTTAAGAACATAAGAAGAGGCCTGCTCAATCAGACCAGTGGTCCATCTAGTCCAGCATCCTGTCTCATACAGTGGACAAACAGTTCCTCTGGAGGTCCGACAACAGGATGCAGAGACCAAGGCCTTTACCTGATTTTGCTTCCTGGCACTGGGATTCAGAGGTTGACTGCCTCTGAACATGGAGGCTCCCTTTAGTCACCATGGCTAGTAGCCATTGATAGACCTTTCCTCCATGAATCTGTTATGGAGTACTGTTCATTGTGTAGCTAATGTCCAGATAATTGCATCGTCCTTACAAGTAACTTTTTTTTTCCTAAACAGTGTAGCCCTCTTTTTCCTTTTATAGGAATTGACTATTAGGCCTATTCGTTTTGCACAATGACATACTTTTTCAAGCTCTCTTGCAGACCTGAGATTCAACAAATCAAAAATTGCTTGGTCAACACATCCTGTCATGGAAGTGGGCACTGATGGCTGGGGTCATGAACTATTTCTTGAGCCAGTACGGTGTAATGGTTAAGAGCGACAGACTCTTATCTGGAGAACAGGGTTTGATTCCCCACTCTTCCACATGAAGCCTGCTGGGTGACCTTGGGTCAGTCACAGTTCTCTCAGAGCTCTCTCAGACCCACCTACCTCACAGGGTATCTGTTGTGGGAAGAGAAAGGGAAGGCAATTGTAAGCCACTCTGAGACTCCTTTGGGTGGTAAAGAGCAGGGTATGAAACCAACTCTTCTTCTTAAGACCATCTTGTCCTGGAAGCCTGCACTCTTTCTGTGGGAGAAAAGCCACAAGATGCTCTGAGTTTGTCAGTAACCCACATGAAATTCCTCTTTCTACATGCTGCTGTCTAACCTTTGGGACTCCAGGAGCCCTTGTGCCTTTTCTTCCTCTCTATCTGGCCTCTGCAAGCTAAACGATAAGCTGTTCATGTGCATGTGCACATACCTTTACATTTGATTTAATTTGCAATCATATTTATAAGCTTGAGCCTGTGTCCACATGCAAAGAGGTTTTTCAGTCCACTAAGTGGATAAACCAGGCCTTGGAAACTAAAGGAGAAGATGAAGCAGTCTTTCTCAGCATGAGAGTATAATGAGATTTCTTTTCTGTACAGCCAGAAGAAATGTATGAGCAAGCTACTAGAATATAGTGCTGATGTCAACATTTGTAATAATGAAGGACTGACGGCGGTAAGTTCTATAAACTTGTGTTTATTGACTTTTACTGGAAGATTTAAATATTACTGGCATGTGATGTCAGAGTGATATTGAGCTGATAATTGGCATTAGGAATGAGTGTCTTGTGTCTGGTTAGGGTTGAGTCAATTATTGGGGCATTGAGTTGAATTTTTCAAAATTCATGATCTTCCCTGGAGCAGGAGGGAAATGCTTCATCCTTTACTCTCCCCCCCTCCCAATATCTGAGAAGAGTGTTATAATGGGTTAGAAAACCCCTAAATCTGATCCCTCGTACGTAGGTAGCACTAAGTGCCTGGATCAAATTCTCAGAGCGCAGGAGTCCATGCTTTTGGGCTCAGATAAGCAACTTCGGTACTTTTGGAGTTTCCTCTAACAGCTGGAATAGAACTTGGTTTGACTGCTCATCAAAGATCCCTAGGAATGGGATTGGATTCCTTTGAACAGTCTGAGGGAGTGGGGACCCTGTTTGGTTGTAAAATCAGATTTGATTGGATTTCATAGTCATCCCTCACTGATACTATAGTTATGCCTTATCCTAAAAATACACTTGCAGATAGGTGCAGCTACATAACAAAATTGACATTTGTGTGAAAACCTAGCCCCTTTCCCTCAATCTTCTCCATTCCTGTTGATCAATAGATTTTTCCGTTAATCGCACATCTTGACATCCTCAATTGATTAAAAATGAAACTGTTAACGTTGAGTCTACAGTTCAGCGAAGAGGAAGAGTGGATGCTTGCAGAAATATGGTCCTAATTTCTAATAATAAATTTCTCTCTTTGGACTATAAGCGACTTCCAAAATTCAGATTTGTAAATCTTTATCTTGGATGTGTGGTGGTAGGTCATCGAAAGCAATGTAGGCAAGTATTACTGCAGATCTGGGCATGTCTATTAATTGCAGACCTCAGATGTAATCACACCTCTGTGTATACTCTTTCATTTATACAAGGTGAATGTATGTGCTGTGTGTGTATCTGGAATTCCCATTAGTGTTTATGTGGGTGTTAAGTGCTGTCAAGTTGCTTCTGACTTTTGGGGACCCTAGGAGCATATGAGACATAAAGCTGTTCTTTCTTCATATAGTATGTTGAAGTCCCTGCGATCCACGAAGCTCTGGGTGCATGTTGGAATCCGTGGATATCATTACATTTGGTGTTACCTTTTAAATCACTCACAGAAGGTTTTTGCTAGTTTGTTTGAGCTGCTATTTCTTGGTCTGGTCTGGATATTATCATACCACTCTCTTTGTGATCTTGGACCCTCAGATTGACAGTACACCTGTGTTTGTGTTCAGTACCCATGATTAAGACATGATCATATTTGCTTTGCCTTCATTTTTATGAGTTTATATTCATCGAATTTACATGCTAATGAGTCTCTCCCCCCACCCCCCCACCCGGCTTCTGTATGTATCCAGATACATTGGCTTGCTGTTAATGGAAGAACAGAATTGCTTCATGATCTCGTTCAACATGTTAGCAATGTAGATGTTGAAGATGCCATGGGACAGACCGCACTTCATGTGGCATGTCAGAATGGCCACAAAACGGTACGCTGATGACAATACGCATATTTAATGTAAGCTGCTTTGGTTGCCGTGAGCTTGTCACAAATTTCTAAATGAAGCCCATTAATAGAAAGCATAGTACATCACAAACCTGTTTTATTATCGATAATACCCGTAAGCATTTAGTTCCTGTGGTAATGCTGGGTTTCTCTTAGAAAGGGCCTGAGTATAGTTTGTTTTCCAGTAGGCTGTCATTGTACAGGAGGCTGCACTTTTGCATCCCTCTGTGATGCTGAAAATGTTTATGGGACAACAAGCCACCTGCTGTGAGGCCAGAGGTCCACAGTGAGGAAAGAAAATCTGCTGAAATATTTCCCTTCTGCTAATAGAGCTCTCGCTCTGCCAGGCTTTCTGTCCTTGTTAAGTATTTTTTGTTATATTCTTCTATATACATCTGAATCTGAAGTCTTTATTGGAGAAAATAGTTGAAGTAATTTAAAAGGGACTAAGAGTATGTGTTTGTGTGCTTCATTAATTTTCATTTTTTCTTCCCAAAAGACAGTCCAATGCCTGCTAGACAGTGGTGCAGATATTAACAGGCCCAATGTTTCAGGAGCAACTCCACTTTATTTTGCTTGCAGGTATGATTTGCTGTTTTATAAAATGTCACATTCACCTCCACACAAGACAGTGGAATGAGTGTTGACTTGGCTGTATGGAAATCAAGTTAAAATCCTTTTCCACTGTGAAGTTCCTGGGTGGCTGGGAACAAATAGCTCTCCCAGTCTACTAGAACCATGCGAAGCTGATCTGATCTGTTGGTCTACTCTTTGTTGTGCCATTATTAAAACCTATCCATAAAAAAGGTACATGTATTTATTGATAATAACAAATTTTAAAACATATATAGGGGCCCAATTACAACCAATGTATATAAAGCATAACAATATCAAGGGCTTAAAAAGTTGACCTTACGCGTTTCGGCCAAATAGGCCTTCCTCAGAGGTCATACATATGTGGCAAGATGGTTAATAATTATATTCACATGAACACAATCAGAAATATATACAAAGTATAGATTCAATAAGGACCATAAAGTAAATTGTTCAGAAGTAAAATTGTTCAGAAGTAAAATCACCAGGCACAGGATAAATATGCACATAAGACCTTTAAAGTGCAATCACTAGCCCAGTGATTATAAAATAAAATTAATACGACAAAAATTTTCTGTTTGAAAAATTTCTCTGGTGGATATGTAAGGGCTAGTTGGCCAGAATTTGAAGTGGAGTTGAGAGAAGTAAATGGGGAGCTGGAGACATCCAGCTTCTAGCTCCAGTGAGCTTCAGGATGTAGAAGACAGAGGCAACTATGAGAGCCAGGCTCTGAGATGTCTGTACCTAGGGCAAATCCTCACTGTGAAACTGCATTGCATCTCTAGATTTAGTGAAGCCTGTCCCTTGAGCCCTGTCTTTGAGTGAAGGCCCTGCCAGCCTAGTTAGGGGGCTTAAGAACAGAGCATCTCTTACCCACAAACATGTTCATCCTCTGTGGAATGCAAAAAGTAAAAGACCTGTACAATTACTAGATCTCGGTGGTGGTTCCTAGTCTTCATCCAGGTTACAAGGAAACTGTACAGTGTTGACATGGAAGCATTTGCAGATCTTCAATACAATTAAGCATCTGTAAATACTGGAAATTCCATGTCAGTAAAGCCAAATGCTACCCAGCTTAACTATGCTAATTTAGTATTTTTACTACACTGTTTGATTTGCAGTTGTACAGCAACTGGCTGCATTCAGACATTGCTAACAATTTTTGACATGTTCATAACAAAGAGCCTTTGGCTCATATGTTTCCCTCCCATTCCTTTTTCCACTCATACATGATACTGGCTATATAGATTGAGCCAGAGTAACAAACCAGAGCTTGCCACTTCATCCAGTTCACCATTTGTTTCCATACCAACTTCAAGGGTTGATGATGGGGCATGCAAGGGCAAGGGCTTCCTGGCTTAGGATGCTCATGATACAAGATGGTGAGGTGGAATGTGGGAGTGGGAATGTCAAACAGATCGAAGGATCTGCCATCCCAAGGTCATATGCAGTTTCAAAATTTAAAATATACTCTCTGCCCTATCTCTGCAAACTGCAGGACACAGACATCACAGGTTGTAAGAAGTTAACAGCAATGCACAGTTACATGGTTAAAAACTGCCACAATTTACTTTCCACCAAATGCTTTCTGGAACAGAAAAAGCTTTTTGAGCACAACAAGTGGAGGCAGCTGCTGCACCCTCTCTGGTAGGCCATTTGAGAGGAATGGTCCTGCCACAGAGAATGCCTGTGACCTAACAGTTGCCAGGTGGACAATCCTAGGGGAGAACCACCACAAACAGGCTGTCTGAGAAGCTCAATTTGTCCGTGGGAGTATACTCATGACAACTTTAAGGCTTTTGAGTTAAAAAAAGGAAATTTTTATCACCAAGTACATGGATTTAGATTACTGCAGATGATCTTGTTTAGAAAAATTGCTTTACAGCTGTGATGGTGTTTAGCTGTGAGAACTAGTGAAAACTTGTAAGTTTGTCTTCTGCTTGTTGCTCCAAATGGCTTTGAAAGGGCTTTTTCAGTGGTGGCACCAGGCCTGTGGAATGTCCTTCCCCATGAGGCTCACCTGGCATCTGCATCATGCCAAAACATTTTTACCCAGGTTTTAAACTAAGGAGTTTGATCTTTTAGAATGGTTTTACAGTTTGCTTCTAGGTTAGCAGCCTCAGATGTTTCATTTTTTAATGTAATTTATAGTGTGCCTTTTTCACTTGGACTCAAGGCGGATTACACAGAGTGAGTCACTACAATCGACCGGGGGGGAGGGGGGATTCAGTAAACAATATAATTGGATTAGGATTGTAGAACCAATCAGAAATCTAAATACAAAACTGAAGGGAAGCATAAGTCTTAATTTGATACATCAAGTAATGCAAAGATTACATATTAGGACCCTAGTTTCGGCAAGCTAAACAAAATAGACCACAGTCCTTAATTTATCTAAGCTCCAGCTGAGTTTTTAGTGGTTGGGCACTGCACATTTGTGGTAGGCTGTCTGGTTACAAAATAAAGACTAAATAGACCTTATAACCTTCCTATGTTTAATACAGCCATGGCCAAAGAGATACTGCACAGATTCTTCTGCTGAGAGGAGCCAAATATTTGCCAGACAAAAATGGAGTTACTCCACTTGACCTCTGTGTACAGGTATAAATTAGCTTTGAGGTAACATGTATTTTCTAAAACCAAAGTCTTAAGTGCTTGTCTGTCTAAAAGCAACATCTGTTATATGGAGGTGCTTACAGAAAATGCTTGAGGAATTACTGAACTCTTTCTGTGCAAAAGGAAAAAGCTGCGTCTCTTTTCTGTTGCACCCATTCTGTTCCATTGCATGGTGAAATGTATGTGCTTCTTTTCAAGGGCAGCACACATAATTTTGCTAAGGGGTAGATGCATGACTACCACCTTCATGTATTAGGAAGTGTAGAAAGGCTGTGCGTTTGTGCTTCCCATGTGTGATGATCCGTGTTAATGCAAAATCAAAATTAGTTTAAAAGGATTTGGGGTGGGGGGCTCTGTTTTATGTAGCAAATTGCATGTGATTGGAGTTAAGTAAATGTTCACTTACTGTAGTAGCTTTTAGATCTCTTATCTGAACAACAGTGAACAGTTTATTACATGATGAGTTCTGTATAAATTAATATTTCACCCAATCCTGCTCTATAAAACATATTATTACATGCGGGTCAGCATTAAATAAATGAAGCTTAGCATGTTCACCTTAATATAAATATCACACTAGAATTTACGTTCATGGTATTGATGTTGAAGTATGATTGACTTCTAAATTTGTCACAGAAGAACAAATGTATGGTTCAGGTGCAGTTCAAACAGCTATTTTATGTGGAGTACCTATATGTGATGTGGCACTAGAGTTAAGTTGTATAGAATATTTATGATCTTATCTAATATTTACAGTTTACGTGTTTTTCAAATTTTTAGTGTGTAATCTAAGGGATAACATTCACACCCTGATCCGAAGAAGATGGATCCTGTCAACCACTATATCTTTTGGCCAGGTGGTGGCCTCTGTGGATTAGCTAAATCTGTGCAGTGGGATCAGCCATAGCTGCTGTTTAGTCTTCTGCAAAGGTGTCAGACCAACCTGGTTTCCTTCTTTGATCGTGTGACGAGCTTACTGGATTGTGGGAACTCTGTTGATATGATTTACCTGGATTTCAGTAATGCTTTCGATAAGGTTCCCCATGACATTCTGATGGGCAAACAGGAAGACTGTGGACTGGACGATAGGACAGTTCGGTGGATAGGGAACTGATTAGAGGACCGCACCCAAAGAGTGGTGGTCAGTGGCGTTTCATCAGATTGGAGGGAGATGTCCAGTGGGGTGCTGCAGGGCTCGGTTTTGGGCCTGGTACCGTATTTTTCGCTCCATAAGACGCACCTAGTTTTTAGAGGAGGAAAACAGGAAAAAGTGCCTCTTCTGCTGCTGTTCAGTGGGGAGAGAAGCCTTGAGCCGGATCTCCCAGGTGGCAAAGCGAGAAGGGCCCCGCTGGCCACGATGCTTTACAGCAGCCTCCCAAGGACACACCACAAGTGTGTCAGAAGGCAACACCCACCGCTCAGGCTCCACCCCAAAAATCTCCAAGTATTTCCCAACTCAGAGCTGGCGAACCTACCTGGAGAAAAACTGCTTCAAAAGCACAAAGAAAATTTGTAGCAGGGGATCAGCTTTTGTGAGTCACTGCTCTCTTCTACAGATATTTCATAGCTGAAGAAGTGACCAGTGACCCAGTTATGAATAGAGGCTACAGTTCCCACATTTGCAGAAGTCTACAGATATGGGCAACATCCTCCTCACTTGCTCCTACATGTAATGGTTGATGACTCTGTTTCAATGTATCTGAAAATGAGTGCATGAACACAAAAGCTTAGACCCAGAATTAAAGTTTGTTGGTCTTAAAGGTGCCACTGGACCCAAACTTTGTTCTATTGCTTCAGACCAACACGGCTACCCACCTGAACCTATGCAAACCAGAATAATTCAAGAGGGCTCTTCTACACAGGCAATAGGGTTACACTGTGCAAAAGACTTCACAAAGTTACTTGAACAAATTATTGGGGTACACCCAACACCTCATGTCCACACATGCTTAAGGTAGGATAGCAGTTCAATATTTCATTAGCAG